ATAATGAAATCTTTAAATTTTTTTTCAAATTAAAGAAATGCTGATTGATTCTGAGATTTCTTAACATTATCCTAGTTGTGATTTTTATTTTAGGTGTTCATAAAAAAGAAAGATTTAAAGCTTCCTAATATCGGTGAAGCATTAATTTTTAAGGTTGAAGCAAATTGCACTAGAAATTAATGAAAATAATTTTGTTCGATAATCTAATTTTTATATCCATTTTTCGGGCATCATCGGTGATGCCATTCATCCAGGTTGCTGCGAGGGTCAACGAGTCAGTTGGACTACCGTTAGAAGAAGACGGAACACTTCTGCTGTCCACAATGCGAAACAAATATCCAGGCGCAATAGGACTAATATTTAATGATCCTGAAGGCAGGCAGAGGAGTGTTTGCAGTCAGATTCAATGGCTCTCGTTTCCTTCCTGATCCGGGTGGATGGAATAATCAGCTTGTTTATTATTGCACTTTTCCGAGAGGTACGAGCAGGAATATTGAAAATGCATGTTGTTGTTGTTCGAGTAGAATTAAAGGAAATTTTATGCCAAACAACAATAATGCATATTGAATATCTTTTTTAATGGCTTAATCAGACTTTATAATGAAAAAGCCAGTGATAAAGCCTAAATAAATTTTTATTTTATCAAAGACTAAAAAAGATCTTCAATATATTATCAAAAAACAGGCGTGAAATGTTAATCCATTACAACAATAATGTAGAATATGACACGGAAGACTCGGATATGAAGTTGGTTTAATATAATATATAATATAATATAATTAAACCAACAGAATTTACAGCGAAGCAAAAATTACATGAAATGAAATCAAATTCACCGATAACTTTGATGAAAGATTTCGTTTTTTCTTGAAAGTCCTTACCTGTGGAAAATTGAATTCAGCTTCATTAAAAAGCTTCAAACTCCTATTGAACAATCACAGAAGATGATGGGATGTCACACCAGCACATGGTTTCAATTGTAGGAAAGGAATTGAATTTATGCATTGTCATCGCAGTAACCTGAAATTCATAACCAAAAAGATTAAAATTCTTTCGGCTTATCAAAATCTTTTGTAATTTTAACTTACCTATTTTTCACTTGGAGCTTTCAATCTCCAAAGTAATCCAATTCGAAGGAATTAGTGCTTAAAATCGGTCTAGTTAATGAAGTTTTCGTCACAGCAACCTATGATTTTTCACCACATGTTTTTTTAATTTCCATTTTTAAAGCTTTTCTTTTATTTTGATAAGCCGAAAGAACTTAATAAAAACTAAACACTTTCACTTTTACATCGTCATCAATATAAAACTAAATAACAACGTAATTTAAATGACCACATTTCACTACATTTAAATGAAATAATTCAGACGATTTTAATTGTTCAACTTCAAAATTTAGACTGAGAGTTAAAATCCTCTTCTTCTTTCTTCTCATTTTATCGTTTTGTACTAAATAAATTAATCTACCAAAGTTTTTAGTTCAGAACATTATATACCGTAGTCGGTAGATCTCATATTTTTAGAACGAACTATGGCAAAAAAAAATGCATAAAAGCATCAATCGTAATTTAAAAATCAAATTATATTTATTTTGTTAACTTAATCTCTCACTTTGTTCAGAAACTCTAAATTTTATGTAGGTACAAAAATAATTCTGAAGGTTTTCATACCAACAAACAGTTTGACAATCGCTGGTATAACAGATAATTTTTATTGGAAATCTTTGTAATAAATGTGTATGTGATTGGACGCAAAAAAGTACATTGTAACATTTGAAGATTATTGTACTATCACTTTTTGTGTGGAAGTAAACAAAAAGAAAAATATGATATTTACACTTCAGTGTTGATAAAAGTGAATGAATTATGGTTTGCGGAAACTCGCTATAAAATTGATGTTCATGATTTGATGATGGAAGCCGAATTTGTAGTTGAAATTCGCAAGAACAGTGATTCAAAAATATTTATAAGTATCAAAGAAGATAATGAATGAGACAATCAGAATCAAAGTTGAACGATTATAAAGACGATTCCAATTCCATATGCCGCATGACATAAAGTGGATCATAAACGAAATTATTGCCTTCTTATCTTTACATGGCGTAGTATATCCAAAAAAAAGTCTATCTAAGTGTATTTAATGTATGACGAATTTATATGACCATTATTGTTTTATCAGATATTTATAAGTATAGACGCGGAGAAAATATTTTTAAGTTCATTTCGCTTTTGGAATTCAAAGCTAAATGTTTGATCCAAAACTTTATATAAAGCACAGTAAAATTTAAATTCAAAGCCATAGTGATGACAAAGTGGATTTTTCTGGGGATTTTGATTTTCTGTTCCATTTCAACACTCTTAGCTGAGACATCTCATCTACCAGAATGCACAGCGGAGCTTCAAGACCGCCATTTTCCTAGTGATGACGATTGGTACAAAAATAAAATTTATTTCCAATATCTGAATTTTTAAAATTTTTTTTTTTAATCCAGTCAAACATACTACACATGTTTTGATGGTGTTTTTGTGCGTCAAACGTGTTCCAATGGTCTGTGGTTTCAACGTGAGAAAGAAACATGTGAAAGTTCTGGAAAAGTTTTTGATTGCGTGACAACAACTCCAGGACCAACAAACCCAACTACAACTCCATCAGCCACAACGACATCAGCAACAACTCCATCAACCACGACTCAATCAACCACGACTCAATCAACAACAACGACATTACCAACTACAACTTCATCAACAACAACTTCGACAGTACCAACAACAAAATCAACAGTAGCATGCACTTTAGAACTTCAAGGGCAACATTTTCCAAGTGGAATCGATTGGTAAATTTCATTTCTTTTAAATTGCTTTAAAATTTTCAAAATATTTCTTCAAATGTTTAGTTCAACATATAAAACGTGCTATAATGGACGTTTTATACTTCAAAAATGCCCTAGTGGATATTTCTTCCAACGTACAAGCCAAACTTGTGCTATAGAAAGTGATGTTACTGATTGCGAATTTTCCACAAACACAGCCTTTACGACAGAAGTAATAACTACAAAAACAACAGAAAATGTTTCAACTGAAACAACATCACCACATCCTTTAACCTGCACAGTGGATATTCAAGGTCGCCATTATCCAAGTGGATTCGATTGGTAAATTTTGATTTCCTAAATAATTTTTAAACTATTAAAATACTGAAAATGACAGAAGTTTACAAATCAAGTAGGATGTTCTGCACGAAGTTACAACGTTTTATTCTTCAAAAATGTCCTGATGATTATTATTTCCAACGTTCACGACAGACTTGTGCTTTAATGGAAACTGTAATGGATTGTGAATTTGCTTAAAACATTTTAGAAAAAAAGTTGAATCAAAAGAATCTTCGTTAATCATATTTATGTTAAAACAAAACAATTAATCACTTGACAAATAATTTACAATTATTCAACCCAGGAAACTGTTAAATTTTTCAGATTCACAAGAATTAAAGCTCAATAAAGAATCTCCTGGTAACTATGAAAATTGTTATCATTCTTTATTACTAAATTGTCTAACTAACTAACTTTTGTTCTTATCACGACAAGTAACAAAAATTTACAAAAAATTAATATCTATATGATACCTTCGTTATCATTATTTGTTAAAAGGTATAAAAATGCCAACAGAAATTTGTTTTGAGCATAATCATCCTATAAAGAGTTTAATTTAATTTATTTAAAAATTTCCTATTAAATTCTTAATTTTTAAATGTGGCACCAGAAAGTTCCCAGTTAAAACTCCAAGACGGTAAAATGTGCGTAACATTTACAATAATTGCTCAAGGAATTAATAATTAAATTTTCACATCTTTTGGAAATCCACCGTTTGTTTTAGAAACTTATTTAAGAGAGAAATCACATAAATGTCATCAAAAACAATCTCAAGTTACACATTACAGTACTTATAAATATCACTGAAATAATTTTCTTTATTTCATGAACAAACAAAACACTCGTTCCACGTACATTTATAAATGTATCATATCATCCACTCAAAAAAATGACAATAAGCAATCTTCTTCAACCCACACGTAGACTAAACATGCCATTTATCATTCGTGCAATTATTCATAAGCAAAAACTGAGAAAGGGAATTGAGTGTTGAAAAAGCTTTTAAATAGACAGAAAGATTTCAACCTTCGTTAATGTGAAGATCTATAGAAGAAAACAAGGGTTTTGAAGTCATCGCAATCTTTTTGCATTTCATTAATTTGCTTATTGAATTTTGTATGAAATACATATGGATATGATTTCATTTCATGAGAATATGTTTAACTATCAACAGAAGAAATTCTGTAGAATTTTATCAAATGTCAAAACGAATATCTGACTACCAGAAAATGTACCATTTAAATTCAGACTCATCGTTTTCTTGCGAATGAAAATACGATGAAAAATAATCATCAGGGAGACTGAAAAGGAATTCAAGAAGAAGCTCAACATTTAAATCGTTCATTCGCGTTCAAAATGAATTGAAAACGTCTGAAGATTTATGTACAATCACTTCACATAATCAAATAAGGATTTTTCTTTCGTGGCGGGTAAAAGACAGCAGTTACGTTCAAGTAGATATGTACGTTTAATCGTGATTCAAATTCATTCAATATAAAAATTGAATTCAAGAGAAATTGATTGGAAGCTATAAAAATAAAATTTTCCTTATACACTTCATTTAAATATGCCATACTTATGTATGTGCATATCTTTTTATTTATTATTTTTGATCAATTTTTCCCGATATAAATATTATTAGCAAAATTGTAATACTGGGAAATTAAACTCTGCCTATTTATGCTTATTCACTGAATACTTATTTTATACTTGTTGAATTTTCCTTAAATTTTCGTGATAGAGAACGTTTTATGACGCTAAAATTTTCTCACATACTTAAACAGTAAAAGTTTCAAATTCTTATTTTACATGAGAGAAAGATTCAAATCTACTTTAAGATTATCTAACTTCAAGATTCAAAAACAAAATACGAACTTTTTTAATTTACATGTAATTTAATTATCTAAATCGTTAACGAAATTTGTCAATGTTTACGATGTGCTTGTGTACAAGTCTAAATATAATTTCGCGCAAAAAGTTTATTGCGCCTCTTCAGGATTAGCAGATAATAAGATTATGTCTGTTTAAGTATTTCCATTGAAAAATTTTCACTCAAAAATTCTCGATAATTTTAAAATTAACATAAATTGATTATCTCAATAACATCCACAGGGAGCTAAAAGTTATATGAATGAAAATTAGAAGCTTACATATTTTATTTACGGTTAAAATTCTTACTTAGAAATATTTATCAATTTATTGAGATTAGTACAATTTAAAAGCTTATAGTCTCTCAGATATAAAATCATTTAACCTTCTCCTTCCCTCCCACCAGTTGTCGAGCTTTTCACTTAGCGGAACATAAAAAAGGGTAATTATTATATTTTATCTTATAAAAAATATATGAGCTAACAAAAAGAGAACGAACTCATTCAATAAAGAAAGATCGATGAGATCGAGAAATATCTTTCATGACTTGCGGAATGAGAAAAGAATAAAACGTTGTAAAATCATTAATCACAGATTCTGTCAGTACTTCTGATTTTTTGCATTGAAAAATAATTTCTCATGGTGATTTTGTCGTTATTTTATTTATTAAACAATAAAACTTTATCAAATGAGAAAATTAAATTTTCTGCAAAGCATTAGACATTAGCTTTACTAATTTTTTATCCGAATGGATTAATTAAAAAAGGAAAGGAAACTCAGTCAGGATAAGAAAGCTTTACTCTTGTTTACATAATCATCATCAATAATTTATCAGCGATGCAGCAACTGCGTAGATTTCAATGAACAGTAAGGAGTAACAGTACATCCTTGGTTTCATGTACAGGTCGAAATTTATGTGGATCACGAACTGATATGTTGGGATGGATTTTCACGTTGTTGTATTATATTCATTGGAATGAAAATCATTTGACCTTTTTTTATATGTTGAACCTTATGCCTTCGGCGGGAGAATCCCTTGAACAGACGCAACTGATGGGATAGCGACGGATATTTTCACATCGGTTCTTTTATGATTGGCATTCAGATTAAATAAAAAAAACAAAAATATTTTAAGGAATTTTCTAAATGATTCATATGAGCAAGTTTTATATTTCAACATGACAACCTAAACAGCATTTGATTTACATTTTTCATGAATGTAACAATTTATTGACAAACGCATTAGTGACTAAATTTACTCAAAATAACTTTCTCAATCACCTTTAAATGTGACAATAAATCTGTAAGTTTGAAAACAGAATCTAATCTTATATTATATCTAAACAAATATTTATCAGAACATCTCTCGAGATAAAAAATATCATCTTTAATGATAAGAAAAAGAAATAAATCAAATTTTTGTAACTTTCAGGTACACGCCATCTTTTGGAGTTAAAATAAATAATTCGTTTGAAAATACGATCGGATTCACAGATCTGAAAATTGAAAGTGTAATGAATACATTATTATTTAAATTTAGTTATAGTTTTCATGTCACCTTGGGCAGGGTTCAAATTTAAAGTTTGTCAGAAGCATAGCTAATCCAATTTTTGCTTGCATAATACCAAAACGCAGACCGATGCAGTTACGTGGTCCTTGCCCAAATGCAAGAAAAGCGTAAGGGGATCTTTTAGCCTGCTCTTCTGGGCTAAAACGATCAGGATTGAAAACTGAAGGGTTTGGATAAATCTGTGAATCATGATGAATTGAATAGGCTGGGATGAAAACCATTTGATTTTTTTTAATGACAAATTTTGTGCCTTCCACTTGATAATCTTTAGCACAACTTCTTGTCAAATTTGTTACAGGTGGATATTTTCGAAGTGATTCTAATGAAGATTCAGTTAATGTTTGAATGAATTGTAGATCACAAGAAACTCACCTGATAAGCAGTTATCAATGTAAGTCATTTCCATTAAAGCTTCGTATGTAAATTGGCCATCATGTCTCTTCAACACTTCTCTCACATTATCTCTAGCCTTTTGTTGAATGGCTGGATTCTGAGACATTTCAAACAATGCATAACTCATAGCAGTACTTGACGTCTCAAATCTTAAGAAAGAATAAAATTAATTGCCATAATAAATTTCATGTGTGACTATCTAATCATTTTTACCCAGCTAAAAAGAATATTAACGCTTGTGCGGCAATTTCCTCTATACTTAGTTTTCCAATTATCGAAGCATCTCCTTCAAGTGCCCCACGGTTCTTCAGTTGGATCAATAAATGCATAAAATCGTTTCGCTTTACATCATTTGATTCTCGGTAATTTACAGTAGATTTGACAATATTCATGAAGAAATCTGTCGACTCTTTTCTGAACATCGTTACGTGGAGTATTTTCGAAATATTTTTAAACATCAATATCAATTGAACAAAGAAAGCGTTATATTTAGGATCGTCAAAGAGTATCTTGGTTTTCTCTCTAAATTCACTTTTAGGATCTTCCAAAGAACTGCAATCAAGTCCAAAAGCGCATGAACCAATCACATCTGTGGTGAACCGTGCTGCAATATCTTTGATCTCAATTTCATTGTTAACATCAGCAGACGATTCAGTTTCAAGTGTTTTTATAAATTTCTCTGCAACATCGCACACAGTGCCAAACATCATTTTCATTTTCCCCGATGTAAATGTCGGTGTCAGTTTAGTTCTCAAAATTTTCCACTTTGGATTATCGACATTAAATAAATGAGCGCTTAATGGATCTGCATTTAGTTGATAATTTTATATCTCTTATAAAAATATTGGGAAATATCAAAACAGATAATTTTTAATTACCATCTTCTTCATTATAGTAAACACCTCTATCCAAGAAATAAGCTGAATCTTTCGCTAGAACAGTTCGAGCAAAATCTACTGAAGTGACAAGAACAACCGGGGATAAGAACGAATAAATTCCAGCAAAAGGAGTCCCGTGATTTTTAAACTTTTCATAGATTCTTTGAAAAACTTTCGATTGATGATATTCATGACCAATGCCTTTTAAATTGCCCACTGGGAATGAAGGTTCCTCATATGGAACACCCATAATTTTCCAGTAAGAATAACTTCTGTTCACTAAATAAGCAATCAACCCAACAATCACTACAAGTAATGAAAAAATCTTCATAATTGATTCCATGATAAATGTTTTAAATTTTAGTTGTTTGTCACTATCGTGTTGAACATGAACTGACATTAAATAACTTCATCCGACAAGTTTTTATTTAATCTTCTTTTAAATTATCTGAACAAAAAATGTATTTATTATCTGGTACCATATGATGAGCTGGTATTCGTGAGAATTATTAACAAATTATTCTAGTAACAGTATGACAATTCACTTTAATTATCTTGAAGTGGTTTGAGTTTAATTTAAGTAGTATCTTTGAAGAAATAAAGAGATAATTGCGTTTTCAACACATGCATGTACATACATTAATATGTAATAAGGTCAATAATTGTTCTTTGATAAGATACTAAAAAAATAAAAATAATAATATATTTCAGTCATGATGATATTTTATTTTTCAGTAGATAAACAATGTTTTCAAGCTAGCAACGAATCTTTATAGGTCTAAGTTATCAGATGGCCAACATCAGCATGGAGTTTTTCCTAAAATGTTTAAATATTAGAAGAAAATTAATGAAATGAGTTAACAAATTCATTCAATTTAATGTTCACCTGTTTTTGTAGCAGATGCTGTGATGTATTTTGGTGTCTTTTTTAAACTGTAGAATTATCTCCCGATTGATAGCTTGTGAAATTATTCTTCTCTAAGTAGATATATGGTGACACAAATTGGATTGGAGGTCAATATAAATATGATTGAAGATAAGTGAAAGAAATCTGAGTATTAATTTTACTTCTATAGTTTATCCTCGTGTGCTGTCAAGAGTGGGTTGGTAACATTAACTTAAGTAGCAGCGATAGGATTACCGTAAGTATGATTTCATGCTACATCATGCTTCTTTTCTTACTTAGAAGAAATTCTTTCTTTATTCTTCGCTTCTTTAATTTTTCAACCTACATCTGTAATTGATTCATCCATGCATCTATTTATTTTCAATATTTCAGAAAAATAAAGTTGAAATTCAGTTTAACTTTCTTTGAAAATTCAATGTTTACACATCTTGTAATTTTTTACGCAGTCATACAAGACAATAACAAACTTCCAATGGATGGCTACTGGAAAGATATTGGAAAGATTCAAATTTTTAAAAATCGTTATGTTTAATTGAGATTCAATCATATTTATTTTTTAAGATAGCTTTACAAATTAATTTTGCAGTTTAATAAATTATTATGATTAACTCTACAAGGATAACAAAAGATCAATTTAATTGTTGTATTAATGGTTTTCCTTACAATAATGTGTAACAATTTTAAGGGACTTTGGTAACTAAATAGCATGGTTGAGCTCTAAACAATGATAAAATACGGTACATTTAGTTCTACTTTCTGTTGACTGACATTTGAAACCATCATAAATTATCTACGTTTATATGATGATTCATAATTATTTTACTTAGAAGAGCTTTCGACTTATCCTTCCATCTGATAACACATTAAGTGTAGAGATGAAAAATACTAAATTACATTTAGAAACTTAATTTTGAAGTTTGAAGTTTCAAGAATCAATAAATTATTAAAAGTAATTATTGCACCAAAGGAGCCAAAGTATCTATGAAATAGATAGTGGAAAAGGTTTAAAACTCAAAGATATAAAGTTTGTTTTTCCATCATCTTACTTATTTACGTTATTTACAAAAACTTTTATTATCATTTGGTTTGAAATTTGACTTCACATTATTTCTTCAAAGAAATTCTTTTAAAAATTATTTTAACGCGGTCTTACGTATTTTTTTGTCAAAACTTTTTGAGCATTATCATAAAAACTTTAAATTTGAGTTTCTTAAATTGAGATTAAAACAAAAGTTTTCCTTTTAATTTATAATTGTACATTCAGGAGTTCTTCGTGCTTCTCTGTTTTTCCATTTGGAAACATTATGTTGAAATATTTTCTTTATTTTCTCTTTGGAAGAAAATTTCAGTATCTGACTCATGAGACGCTTTTACCTGTTGACTAGCATAAGTATTTCTTTTTGGGCTTCATTAATTTATTCCGTCACTTGACAGGAGTAATGCTATTAGAAACAGACGTGGTTTGATTAATTGGTGAAGATCGTGAAGATGACGAGTTTGATGAGATTGTATTAGCTGTCGAGCGCGTTTGTTGTACTGATGTTGACTTTGGAGTCGTAAGTTGTGCTTCATTGGCTGATCGGGCTGCATTCGTTCCACAAGCTTGATGGTGTTGTTCCCAATCTTATATTATTATTAATTGTAAACATTTCATTTATAACTATATGAGTTATAATTTCAAACTCACCTTTATGTTGACAAAACGATCCACAATATCGTGCTAAGTTGCAACCAGAACATGTTTCATTAGCTTTCCTGCCGCAATTCCAACATGCCTGTTGATGATAGAAAATAATTGTGAAATATTTATATGATATTTAAACAATGCATTCTTACATTACTTCCAGTAGTTTGATGTTCTCCATCAATTCCATCTCCACTTCTGTTAATTTCTCCATAAATCTTCTCCATTTTTATTCTTTCCTGTGCAATCATTTCAATTGCACGTGTTTCTGCTGCAGAGACTGCACGTTGAATTTCGAGTACTGCTTGTCTTTTCACCTTTTATTTTAGATAAAATTTTAATTAAATTTTTAGATACCTAATTATGGAAATCCAACTCACTTGATTTACAGCATCTTCGGCATTTCGTCGAAATTCAGCTATTTTTTCTTCCGTCTGTCGTTTAATATCGCTAATCAATGTTGAATCTTGATGTGTAACTGTTCCACCATCACCACCCCGATGCTGTAGAATTGAAATCGCTCTTTTTGTCTTCTCAACCATACCACTGATACATGACAGCATTGTATGAATATTCCGCCATTCTTCATCGCCACTTGTTGCTCCTGAACCGCTTCCATTTACTTGACCTACAGCTCCACCACTTACACGATTTCCACGTGATGATGACTCAGATGTAATTGAACGAAGTTCACGCTCTTCTCGACTGGTATGCTATTGTTGATTACAAATTTTTGTTTGAAAAGAAAAGTAAGAGAAGAAAAAACGAGACAAAAGTTAGTTAAGCTCATGCTGAACTGTTCTGCAACAGACACATTTAGAAATTTGTTTTGTTGAATTTACATCTACTGGGATGTCGAAACAAAAGGTTGAAAAAGGAAAAGTACAAAAAAGAAAAAGAAAAGAAAAACTATTGAAAACAGTCTCTGGCAAGTGGGACACATTAATACAAAATCTCTTGTGTTCTATTTAACTTCTCATACTCCTATAACACAACCAGCCAAGCAACCATCAACGAGTGAAAGGAAGTAAAATTTTTTTTTTTCTCATTTCGGTATACTGACCATTTGTTCCTGATGTGAATGGATTCCATTTTGGTATTCAAACAGAGATGGATGATTTATTAAATGTGGTAGTGCTGATGATGAAAGCATCAATGAATGATGTGGTCGCTTTGCAGGTGAAATGTAATCATTCCATTCGTGTGACAAATTACTGTTTGCCAAATGAGATTCGTAGATTAAGCTAAGAAGAAAACGATTTATAATTTAATTTATGTAATTAATAAGAATTTAGGAAACAATTAATTAAATTATTTTATATACTTACGCTTCCGTTGCACGTCGCTTCAAATTTAATCCATTGCTGTTTGAAGAGAAGTTTGATTCGTTTGATAAGAATATATCATTGTGTGCGTCGGTTGGATTATGTAGAAGTTCAATGACACTACTATCATTAGTGCGAACGTACTGTAAAGCTGATTGCTTATTGACACGAGCTAAGCTGTTTATTTCACGTTGCAAAAGTGGCAGATGCGACCTTAAAAAAGGGAGAACATTTGGTCGAAGTGGAAAATTCGTTGCTTCTTGAACTGCGATTTGAAAATCTTCAATAGAAAGACCGCCACTCTTTTTTAAGATTAAGACAAAGGAAATGAAAATGAAAATTTATTTTCTCTTGAAATTTATTTTAGTTTATAACTCACTGCCAATGATAAGACTAGAGATCTAAGACGATCACCAACATCAACGTTAGTATCTTGACCGAACTGCACCAATGCCCCTAAGAATCGTCGAATTTTTAACAGCCTTTGACTGTCATGAGCTGACAAGGAATTTGCAAGCAACGTTGATGCTGATGATGGTGTCACAGTTGGTGGCGGGGTTCCATTGGCAGTTGGTGATGAGCTGTTATGTCGATTAACACTTGAACTTCTGTTATTTGCTGGTATCATAGTATTCACTGGATGAATTTGATGAGGTGACATTGGAGAGCGTGGGGCGATAACTCGAGCTCCTTCAGGTGAGTCTGGTGTATTACATTGTTCTTTTCCTAAGTATAAATGAAATCAAATTATTTTTCAGATTTACATAACAACAATTTTGTAAGGAATTTGTTTTCAAACATTAAATAGGAAATTGTTTTAATTCTTCTTTTATTTCTTTTGTTTCGTTTTGTAAAAGTCTGAAAAAAAGGGAAAATAAACGAAAACTTTTCAATTTCACGAGGGTTTTTTTTCCTTTTTTCCTCCTTTTTCTTTCTTATCCAAAACATTCGTACACATTGAATTCCATTATGAACATTCAACCAACGCAAGCCCTCATTTTTCCTAAGGGCGCATGTTGTATGGAACAGAAGTTGTTGAACAAAACAATCGCTTTATTATAATTATTAATAATGTAAAATAATAAATGCAACGGATGTAAATGACACATTAAATGATGGTGCTTTTTCTAGTTTTAATAAACCGCTTGCGTTTCTATAAAGTTCTTAACAGAACAAATCGAATGAGAGAAAGGAAGAAAGAATGAAAGAAAAAGTTCTTTAATTCAACTACATCAACAACACAAGCAGTAGCAGCAGTTTTCAGTTCATTTTTCCAATCAGCTTCATTAGTTATAAAACTTTTTGTTTTTTTTTTTCAGTATGCTCAAAGTTTGTGCGAATATTTGGGATGGTTGATTCAGATTTTTGATTTGGTGAAATTTATTTACTTTTTATATTAAATTTTCTGAAAAGATTAAATTTCATGCACTTCGGATTTATTTTCAATTAGGTATTTAAATTAAAATTGATATTAATTTTATGAAAGACTCAACATAAAAGAAAATAACCATCAACATGTCACAAACATGAGAGCGTCTTTCTCTATAATTATTTCTTAATTAAAAATCACTGTAAGATTGTCATTGCCATACTCTTAAAACTTTGAAGTTATTATGAGTTTATAGAAATAGATTATTTTGCATTTCATTTTTTGATGAGAAAACGATTAAAAATTTCAACACAAAAAAATAAAGAAATAATTTCCGCCACCCACTATACCGTAGGCAAAAGTTAAAAGTAAAATAAAAACAAAGGATTTCAAATCCTATAGTTGATTGTTTGTGAACGATAGAAAAAAGTTTTCCATCATTCCACTTGAAAATAGAAGTTTTCCTTTAAGACAGAACAGTAAACTCTGAATCTGAAACGAAGAAAACTTTGTTTTTACTTTGCTTTTCTACCGAAAAATGAAGAGTTGGGGGTGTTAAGAGAGAACTTTAAGTGAAAATGATGTATGGTTTTGAAAGCTCCTAACGAAAACGGAGAAAAGTTCTTTCCTGTGATTCAGTTTACATTTGGTTACTGAGTATAAGATGGGAGGCAAAAAAAAAAATAAATAAATAACAAGAATGTAAATGTTTGTTTATTAAAAGATTTTAAAGAATTTTACTGATTGTTCGTATTCTTTACAATTTAAACATTAAATCATAAAAATATTATTGTTAACGTCACTTGCGTTCACATCCACACGTGTCAGTCATTTCTGGTCTATGCTTTTATCGTAAACATGAAATCAAATGAAATACTGAAAATATCAATAATTTCAGATATTTTTCTTCTTAAAAGAAAATTTTCCATCTGTCAGTTTGCATGATGCTGAATGTTTTTGACAAAAACTTACTTCAAGGCATTTCTTTACTCAATTTTCCAAATTCAGAAAGAAGAAAAGTGAAAAGTAATTTTATGAGAAAGTCCCGTATGTATATCCAACAAAATGAAAATGACAAGTAAAGCCTTAGAAAATTATTTGAAAGTAAAAAAATATCATTTAAAGATGGAAACAAACTCAAGATGGAAAGCTTTCCAGTCAACTTGTGTAAACTGTAAAGGTATGTAGGTAGTGTGTTGTGAAAAGGAAAGAAACGAAAAAAGAAGGGAAGTTGCTTATGAGGAATGAAGTTCAAGAAAATATTATTTCTGAGGGGCTTCTGTGGGTGACAGGTAAAATGGATGATGACAAGAAAAAAAGAATTCTCCTCATTCACGAGACGAGCAGAAAAAATTGAAACGCCATGCACTTGACGCTGAAGGAGCGAGGGTAGCAGGAAAACGACGAAGAAAGAACGGTAAAAAAAATTCAAGCACCTTTCCTATGTATTGATCTCTACTTAATTGTCAAAGATCAATTTTTCTGACAGTTCCATTATTTTTTTTCTCTTCTATCGCACTCCCGGCAAGGCAACAGAACATTCATCGAAAGCCTCGCCGAGTAAATGCCAAATCCAAACGAAAATTTTCGTGAGAAATCCATTATCAGTTGGCATTCACATTCATTCTCTCACTCTCTTCTTATTTGTCTTTGTCTAGTGCCGTAGATGGATGAGAAAACTCGCCAATGTTGAAAGGGGAGTCATGAGGTGGATGATTATTGATTAATTTTTAAATGTTTCTGCTGCCTCTAATATATGGTGAGTGTTTGAGAGTCATAACGAATTAAAATATTTGATTGTTCGTGTTAGATTCGAAATGGTATACAAAACGAATTCCATGAAAATAAATCCGATTTAGAAAGCAATAAATTTGAACCTTCAAACTTATTTCAGAATAGGGCAAAGAATAATTATTCCTTGTTTTTATTTTTTTACTTTATTATTTGGTTAATAGAAAACGAAAGAACAAATTCTGATATCGTGTACTGTTGAGCAGTTGGAAGTGTCAGACGCTGATTTCAGAAATTATATTTTTTTCTGCTGATGTTGCTAAAATTGTAATTGAGTTTTATCTCACGAAAACACACGCCACGACCCTACAGAGTCAAAGATGAATTTTTGATAAAGTTTACAGAAAGTCTTACGTCGAGTCGATGTGGAAGGATTTTCAACCGACTCACCCTTCAATGTTTATTCATCATCTGCTTAATCTCTCTAGAAGCTCGTGATGTTGAATAATTTTTTTTCTGTTTTGTTTGCTAAGGGAAAATCTTAAGACAACATTGGTGGCTCTTTGCTATTTCTGTAGTTACAGTAACATTTCGTGTATCTTCTTCTCAATTGCATGCATGTTTACTCATTTTTTACGCAACATTCGTGTGTTGAAAATATAAATTTTCATACACTTTTCGCTTTTGATATTAACTAAGATTCAATTAGAGAATAAAACCAAATTTTTATCATTAAATTGCTTGTACCAAGTTTTCCTCAATAATAGAAGTATTTATTAAAAAATTAATCTTTATATGTACTCGAACGACAAAGTTCATCGTGCTTTATCTTCACGAATATAACACCTTTGATGGGAAACATTAAAGGACGACACATTCAATGTTTAACATGTGGGAAATATTTTTCCTTTTCTGCTCTCAAATTTTTATTTATCGAGGCTTAATCTTGCATCCTTTCGGTGAACTTTACATTGCTCAGCAAAATTTAATTGTGAAAACTTCAAATACCGAAATTAGGTATATGAGAATTTGTCCACATTCATTTAAAACGTAAAAAAATCGCTTTATTTCGTGTCGGAAAAGATTGTCACGTGAGAAAAAGCAGATTTTTAAACGCTTAAAGTCTCCGTGTTATTTTTTTCTCATTGGATGGATCCCTATTGTTATCATCAATTCATTTAAAAATGTTTATGTTGTTCACAAAACTTCTACACGATGTTGTTGTAGCAGGTTGTTCGATGGATGGTGTTTTTCCCATCATGAGTTTAAGAATGAAATGTGAACGAAACAAACAAAAAAAATTCTCCATTCTATATCATATATAAATGAGAGCGAACAGACATCGTGTTTTGGTGTGGGAGAAAAACCGAATGAGGGTGGAAAACTTTTCTTTTTTTTTATTGAAGGCTAAAGGAAATATAAGGTTGGTTCGTGTTATTTTTGTTTTGAATGGGATTTAAACATTGTGGGAAAATTAACAATCTAATTGAATGTGTACATGGCAAGAAAGAATGAAAACAAAATGTAGAATAGGAAAACAAGAATCATCGCACATTGGACGTGAAAAGTATGATGAACATGATGGAAGCAACACCGGAATGATTTTAGATATTTCGATGGTCAATTAAGCTTCGATTTGCTATCATTGATCGATTTTTATATTTTCTAAAAGAAAAACGTGTCAGTGAAAGTATTTTCATGAGTTAAGGTAATTGGTTGTCAATAAAATCGGAAATTTTGTTAGATCGCGACTCAATGAATGCAATCAACTTATAATATTTAATTGGATATGATAGGGACATGATGTTTTTAACTGACTCATTAAATTGTGATTTATCGATGAGGGAAAAATGTGTCGAATAATTTTCCTCAACTTTCATGTCTATAAATTGATGGCTTTGTGGAAAAATGTGTTCCTTTGACCAACATGTCTGATTAATTTAAGGTTTGGTCACAAAACTGTTGTACTATCAACTCAATTTTAGTCTTCATCGATTATTAAGAATTATTTCTCAGCAACTCACCTTTCATACGTCGAACGTTTCCACTGTCGTACACTTCCTTATCCGGTATTTCTTCCTTAATTGCCTTTCCATCCAGAGCCATCTGCGGAAATATGAAAAATAGGTAGAGAGTGAGAATGAAATTTGAAGTTTAATTAACGACGACAATTTCAGATAGATCGGAACAGAACGAAATAATTAATTTTAGATTAAAACAATTTGTGTTTGGAACAATGTGTCCACGAAAGATGTACGCATGTGCATTAAATGACAATTTAATTTATCACAAAGATATGAAGACGAATTTCACACACTTTTTTGAATGAAATTTAAGATGAGAGCACATGAATTGAAAGAACAACAGAAGGAAGCTAAGTGCGCGAGACGATATGATTGAAAACATCTGGTAGCTGAATTTCTTTTTCTTTTGCTTCTTTTCCCTCTCTCTATCATTCATAGTTCATTACACAATTGCCATTGACTGACTTTGCAGTCGTCCAGAAGCGCAACACAGAACAGATCTGTTCTGCAAATGTTTATGATGTATTTTCTATGTCTTCGTCTACCTCTCTCGTTCTGTCTTAAGCTCTAACGTCTGGAAATCGTTCTGAGAGATGAACGAAATTCTAAAAACAGTCGTGGACGACCACAAAGCAACACATTTTTCAACTTCTAATGATTTTTATTTAAATTACAGACTTCTGCTACTCAAGAGATTTCCATATGTATAAATTTATTTATCAAACACATTCGTCGCTTGCGTTGTTGTCTGCAATGTCGATGAAGATAAATAGTGGGCGATTTAAATCCGAAATTTTATTTCTTCCCAATGTCTACACTGAATCTTTTCAAAGTTTGAACAAACCAAAATAATATTCCCGCTTCACTAGATTTTTGCCGATAGCATAAATTATGAATTCGAAATTTGAATTGGAGAAATATTGATGATGAGAACGACACCTGCAATAATTCCCACACGCAAGACAATCATGATTCACAAATCAGCTTATGCGCTTTGGCGAGAGACATGAATTGCAAACATTTAAATGTCACGACACATAATTTGTTTTTCCATCGCCATCAAGCTGAACAAATTTCCACGACAGTTATAAATCGTCAAACAGATTCGAGAAAAGCATAATAAAAAGCAGCGGCTGACCGAGTGTTTGCCAAATGTTTCATTCACCATTTTTTCTTGACATTTTTTCCGCTGTTATACGCCAGCAGCTTGGATCACAAAACAACATTGGAGAGGAAAAAAAGTTTCCCGTATTTAAAATTATAAAAATAATTCATTGTATGATGGCTGGTTCGATGATGGGGTAACATGTGCTCACAATATGTTGACACAATCGTTTCAAAGCAACGAATATTTATTCACTAAATATTGAGTACATGTCGGATGCAGTAGAAACATTGCGAGTTGTTCGTCATCTTTGTATTATCTCCTGGCATTTCACAAAACTTGTCTGCTTGATGAATTATTCTTTTTTTTTCATTCATCATTTGTTCAGGTGAAAACCTTTTATTCCAGATCAAACCTTTTGACGCAACTTGAACTAACTAATTTCAAGTATTCAAACTTTTATAATGAAGAAATTTTTTGTCTGTATTCAAGCTGCAGAGAGTTTTGAGAAGAATTCACTAGCAAGAAGTTCTAATAGACATTTCCAAAATAGCTGACATTGCAAGACATTCAAGTCGTAGGATATCTGATGATGGATGTTAACAGTGTTTGCGAAAGTTCTTATGCGAATGGAATGTCTACAAACGACGTTATTAGAACAGGTGCAAAACAGAAATTTGTATCCAATTTAATATTACAAATTTCTTTCGCCATGTGGTGATGCAAAGTTGGAAGCATTTAATGAAAGCAGGTATAGCTCGATTACGGAATAGAAACTTTTTTATCTCTACACACACATTTCTCCATCCCATTCACCTTCAAACAAATTATCGCGTTAACTGCTATCACATTCTAATTTAAATTTTCACAAGTCACATTCGTCACATCGAATGGAAGTTCAGCATAAGTTAAACGTTCATGTTCTCTCAGTGTTTCTATAAAATAATCTTCTTCCAGGTATCTGAGTCATCAGAAATTAAAGGAATGAAGAAACCTACGAAAATCTGCTTTTCGTCAATTATATTTTAATGAAAGGTATTCCATTCGATAAATGTTAGTCGAAGCAAATGTTTCATCTCACTCTTGAAGAAAATTATTTTTCTACGCAATAAGCACAGATTTACTTGAGAAACTCCAACATATTTCATTATGAGAAGAGAACAGTTAGAGAACTAAAGTTGAAACGGAAGTTGGCATTCCGACGAATGATTGATTTCCAGAATATTAAATACAAATGCGATTGATGAATTGCCTTTCCATCTACAATTGTTAATGAAGAAAGTTTCATTGAATTAAATTTTAAACTCTTCCACTAAGCATTTATTTGGAGAAGCTTAGATGTGGTGCAATCTGACGTGACTCAAATTTTTTTTTGGTATTTAAAATTCTAAAACAAAAAAGGTTACTGGGAGTCGAGTCCCATGTCAAGCAGCAACAACAGCAAGTGGTGGCAACAGCAGCATCCGAATAATTAGATTGAAGCACATCTACTAAGACCTTCGCAATTTGCGTTCATCCCTTAATGGTTCCAACATCTGATACACACACGAACGACAGCAACATCTTGTATACGAATAATGAATGAAGGAAGGAGACGGAGAAGAATTGTGTTTGTGCTTGAAGCATGAAGGGAAACAGAAACAGAAGCAGAAGCACAAACAGCATCGTGTTGTGTTTTGTCGTATGATGAGAAAGTCAAAGCGAACTAAAAAAGCGAGTTGTGTGTTGGTGACAGATTTTCATGATGTTTTCCCTGATTTTCCACCCGACATTCTGTCAATGACATTTTAAATACTTTTCAATTTCTCTTCAGAAAAAGACAAAATTTCCTCCTACGCAAGAGAAACGAAAGAACGATTTTTTGTTTGTTTGCTTTCCATCAACTTTTTCAAGTTGCTTTCATTTTAAAATCTCGTATAAGCCAAAGATGGAACAGAAGTCGGCAAAATTTGTTTTTTCTCACTTGAAAATGTGCTCGGAGTCTGACAGCTTAAAGACTTCATCGAACGTTGGTTGAGTAATCGGAAAAAGAATTGAAAGTGAACATAAAACAGGCACGATCGCAATTCTATTGATTAAACCGCGACTGGATCGAAGCCTGGATCGAATCGTTGTTGAAGATTGCATTTCGTAAACAGTTGAACTTGTTTATAAAAACTAAGAAAATTCCATGCGTGGTCGCATTTGGATTCTGTTGGAATGAATCTCGTGTAATTTATTAAACATTTCCATGTTCAATTTAAAAGTAAATTATGCGCGTTGATGACAGTGATGTTAAACAGATAAAAAGAAACGAACTGAACTGAACATTCTCACGTTTCTGGAGATTTTGTGCGTAGATTTTGCTTCATAGAAGAGCTAAGCGTTTAACTATCGTCAGTCAATTATCTTTCATCGTTCATTCATACGGGTCACCCATATACATGAGCGTGTTAAAGTCCATCAAGCAAGCAAGCAAGCAACCAGCATGATTCTATTCATCCTCCAACCAGCTTCATCCAATTAAAAATTTAGAAATTTTCTTTCTCCAACTCAATTAAGCTCGTCTCGTAAGAAATTTCAAATTTTGTCAATACTGATGCTGGTGGCATCAGATTTCATTTTCTCCTTTAACTGATAAAAACGTTTACTATCGATCCTAAGTGTTTCGTTCCGAAAACAGAGAAAGTTTGTTTTTTATGACACCAGCACCACATGTTGGATATGAAATTTAATGTCGAAACCCCAAAATGTGAATTTTCATCCCCCGTAAGGCTGCTTCTGTTACAGCTACTTCTTCAGCCAATTCTATTGTTGTTGGTATTTGGTATTGCTACTGCTGTCGCCCACCAGATATATTCCGAAATTTCTCTCAAAAGTATTATTGAAACCGACATAAACATTTGAAGCTTACACATGGCTACCAAATGCAATTCTGTTTCAATGAATTCATACATTTGTCAGGTGGATATAAAAAATATTCAACAAACATATAAATATTTACGAATTTGATGTCCATCATACATATTTGAAATGAAATCATGAATAGGCATATTAAAGGGAATGAAATCAAAAACAATAAATTATAAAACCAATTTCAAAGCGATGCTGGTTTGTAGTTATGTACATTCATCTCTTTAAAAAGCGTTGAGGTTTGAATTGTGTTGGTGTCGTAATTTGACAGCATATTGTGTAAATTCATGTTTTGTACATTGGTGTGTGAGATGGAATGTAAACTGAAAAGTTGTGTACTTTAAAGAAAAACTATTTCCAGGTTTTAGGCACTTAGTAAACACCGGCATAAAAGTTGATTTCTATTTCACGCAGATGAAAAGCTCTCGAAAAGAGAAAAAAAAGAAGCAAAGCCAAAAAACTAATTAAACACCCACCCACGTCAACTCGCTCGACGAAATGACGATGGTAATTAACTGCTGGTTTTATGAGGTTTTATTTTATGATGTCTCGTTATCAGACATTTTCACTCCCGCTCACAGCACAGGTTTTTGTTTCTCTTTTTGCTTTCTGCTTCTTTTCTTCATTTTATTTCTCCCCTTTTTGGAAGAGGCAACAGCGTGGGAATTCTGCTTAGCTCTATATTTTCCTTGAGATTTGATTCTCTGAGAATCAGCGATTCAATCTCATTTTGACCTTCGTAGACTATTGTCGTCATTTTCACGAAAAGAAGAAGACCAAAATCGAAAAAAGAGTAGATATCCAGAGAGTCGGAAACAGATGCTTTCGGAGTAGAATTATTTATTTTTCCCGATTTCAAATTACGGCAATATTTTTTTCTCGGTGTTTGGCAACAGCTGCAACAAATTTCCTTTCTCTTGCTTGCTAAAATCTAAAAGAAATATTCCGAGGAATGTTCGCCATGTGCGCAGATGATTGTTGGGCAATGTGTGTGAATGTTTTTTATCGTCGCTCTTTTTTTCCTTCTTATTTTGCTTCCTTCTGCTGTGAGGAGCCAGCAGAGATGTTTCTAACAGCTTGTTGTCATATAAGGGTAGAAATAAAATAAAGAATTATTTTTCTGGGTTTTTTTTTCGTTGAAGTAAAGTAATTAAGCTTATAATGTGTTGTGCTAAGCTTGCATTGCGGCAGGTTGATTTCAAAAAGAGGAAAACATTCAGCAATCAATTTTTAAATTAATATTATTCATTGAAGATCTTCTTTAAACTTATCATAGTTTTTTTGCATGCAAAATGATATAAGATGCGTTGCTTAATTGTTCATACATCATTTTTTGTAAGAAATAAAAAAAGAATAACAGAATGAAATTGCTGGAAAATTTTTTTGAAATGATCTTAGCCTTCAGGTCAATGTTCTCAAACACAATAGAAAATGACGAAACTTTACTTCGGGCCCCTTAAGCATCTGCAATTCACAAAATAGAAATCAAATGCCAGCGCAAATCTGCTGTTTCTGATGGTTTTTGTGTGTTTCTTATTGTATTTCTTCTTTTTTTCTGTGTGCTTATGAACATCATGGATATGTTTTGATGTGTCGGAAGCAGAGAAACAATATTAATTTTTATTCTGCTTAATAGTCTAAATTCTCCAATGGATTTTCGTTGGGGATGTTTGTGACGACCAGCACGATGCCTTCAAAAATTGGAGAGTAATTTTTATTTTCTTTTGAAATTTTGACGTTTCTCTGTATTAATTATAATTGATTAGTTACATTTTTAATATAAATTTCTTTTCCATCCATTTATAGAAATCTTATTGCAGAAATAATAAATCCAAATGAAATTAAACACAATTGTTTCAAGTCACAATTGCAAAGATATCAAATTTTGGTTCAAAATCATTTTCAAATACTCGAAACATGTTTCAAAGATTTTCATTGCGCCATTTGGAGAAACAGCATTCTTTGAACTATGTTTTGCAAAATATCAGCAAAGTTCATCCGTTATCGTTGGAAAAATAATTACTACACCAGAATTATTTTCCATATTTGTTAAACGTCGAAAGAATAAACGATTCAAGTAGCCAGCTTCGAATATCTAAAATGAATTCCTTTGTTAATATGTTTTTCTCATAAAATAACGAATTTTCAATCAAGAGTTTTACAGGAAAGTACCCAAATATAAATGAATGAATGGTAATGACATGCCAGTGAAATTTTAATTAAAACTTTCATTTTTTCCCTCGCTCTACCGCTTTACCGACAAAAAGCTTTTCATTTACTCTATGCAAAGCCCAGAAAGAGTGTGTTTGATGTTGAATAAAACTTTACGTATCAGAATTTCATTAATTTATTTTTCTACAGTTTCAAACAGGTGAAAAATCTTTTTTTTGCTACTGTTAAAATATGTTGGATTATAAAATACTCNATTATCTTTCATCGTTCATTCATACGGGTCACCCACATACATGAGCGTGTTAAAGTCCATCAAGCAAGCAACCAGCATAATTCTATTCATCCTCCAACCAGCTTCATCCAATTAAAAATTTAGAAATTTTCTTTCTCCAACTCAATTAAGCTCGTCTCGTAAGAAATTTCAAATTTTGTCAATACTGATGCTGGTGGCATCAGATTTCATTTTCTCCTTTAACTGATAAAAACGTTTACTATCGATCCTAAGTGTTTCGTTCCGAAAACAGAGAAAGTTTGTTTTTTATGACACCAGCACCACATGTTGGATATGAAATTTAATGTCGAAACCCCAAAATGTGAATTTTCATCCCCCGTAAGGCTGCTTCTGTTACAGCTACTTCTTCAGCCAATTCTATTGTTGTTGGTATTTGGTATTGCTACTGCTGTCGCCCACCAGATATATTCCGAAATTTCTCTCAAAAGTATTATTGAAACCGACATAAATATTTGAAGCTTACACATGGCTACCAAATGCATTTAATTGCATCGGTCACTAACGATTTTTCATGGCACTGGCTGATAGTATTTTCGTTCATGGACACTGACTAACTTGCTGGTGGTAAAACTCACATGTTCATATCGTTTGCACTACTCTTCCTTTTCGAAATCATATCGCGTAAAACAAAATTCCGGCGAGATGACTTTTCGCAAAATTTTAATCGCTTCTGCCAGATAGACCAGATGCCCCAATCATGAAAATTATGATAAATTACAGAATTTATGTTAAAGCATTGTGTGCATGTAATCTATGTTCAAATTTACAGTCGTTGAAAGAAGCAGATTAAAATTTTCTTGAATTTGTTTATTGCTAATCCTTCGCCCAAGCCTTCGCCAAATGTTTCCCATTCGCTTGTTTCATTCTATTTTCTCTACCCCAAATAAAAAAAACCGAGATTATAATGAAACTTAAATCCTGATACCATTCATAAAACTTTCACAACTGTCGAGCGAACGAGAAATGGTGTAAGACCGTACCGCAGGTGCAACAAAACGAATCCATCTGCTATGTAAACATCTAATACATCATTGCTATATGTCCTGTTGTTGAAACTCTTATCTCGTTTGTAAGCACCGTAAGAAAAGCGGATATAAAGAATATTATTTATTTCACTATGACAATATAGTTTACTTTTACATTATCCAATTAAGACTTTCGTCAATTAATCTCAATTTATTTATTTTTGCAAAAAAGAAAAAAATTGAACTTGACATTTCAATTCCTTTTTCTTATCATGATTGCTTTTTGTTCTTTCGTTTCCATCAAAGTTATATTAAATATGTCCACGGTCTTGCCGCAATATCCGCAATCGTGTTTATCACGAAAACATAAAAATTACGACATTTAATAAAACCAAAAATAAAAAATTTGGTTTTGCATAAATTTGTAATAAAGAAAAATCGCTCCATTATTTTATTTTGCGCAGAGTTTTTCCACAATGCGAAGGGTATAGGAAGTAAACATTTGTGCATTATAAAAAAATATTTTGCTTAGTATTGTGCGGCCTGATGTTATCCCCTAAAGATAGCTGAGTCTTAGAAGGGGAAGAAGAAAAGGAAACCTTATGAGAGTGTGGCTTTAGGCATCACAGCATTTTATTCTGTAAAGAAATCTAACATTTGTCTAGCACATTTCGATTCGATATTGTAATTCAGGTTTCAAAGGAAAACAAATTTTATTCCTTGCTACCGCAAATTCTTTTTCAAGTCAAATTACGCAAAATTCAAAACATCTGACACTCACCATTAATGATAAAATTTGCAATTTCCTTAAATCCACGATTCTTACTTTAGATTTTTATCTTTGCAAACTATTATATTATTATTATTATTTTGTATATACAGCATATATATTTATTTATTTCTATGTTTTGTTTTATTGTTGAAATTTTTTTAAGATTCTTTGATATTTTAAATAACACAACCGATCACTTGCATGCTCCAATTAGGAATGAAGCAGAACGACATCTATTAGAACCTGATAAGCGATGAAACTTTCCATCAACAATTTCCACGTTTTTTCATTTGTACAAAATTTTCATTAACACGTCTAGAAACGTTGAGAGATTGAATGAGACTGAGAATATCAAGGAAAATATGACGAGATATTTCATTTGCCTCTCTTCAAAACTTGCTTCCTAAGGGGTAATTCATCGAAAAAAATTAGCCGGCTAAAGCACCATTGAAAAAAAGAAACACTAGGCAAATTCCGAGAAAAACAAAGCAAATTCTCGGAGAATTCCTATTAATTTTGAAAAGCACTAAGTAGTGCTTTTCGAAGCATCATTTCGACGCAGCCGGTAAAAGCACTACGATGAATTACCCCTTGTTGTTTCCCAAACGAACAAGCAACCGAGCATAAAGTGAGAGAAGAGAGTAAGAGTGGAAAGAAACTAAACATGTACCGCAAAAATAATGGTATCATGTGTTCATGAAGAATTTTTGGAATCAGCTGCTGCTTGGAGTTAAAAAAATTAAAATAGAAAGAAAAAATAAAATAGAAGAGAAATTTATGTGAATGCAGGTGTCGTCAAATTTCCATCACATGTTTCTGGTTTTTGTTTTTGGCTTGCTTTTATCCGCTAACAATTCTCCATCTAAATTTCATTTTTGAATGAACATTACATTTTGTTACCTGCTATGACTTCGATTCGACCCAACGTCCACATTATAATTAATTGTAAAAGTAATTTGAGCAATGAACGTTCGAAGAAGCACGTGTTAATTTCACGTGTTTAAATGCATATTATGCTAAGGTATGTTAATATGCCATTGCGAAAATTGCAAATTAAAACCCAACGGAATTATTCTAAATTTGATTGTTTTAAAAAACAAACTGTGACTGTCTAATAATAAATATTTGCATTAAATGTATGGCATTTACATAAGAATGTTTATTAAAAACTTTGAACTTATGCAGTAGAATGTTATAATTAATTAAATCGTCAACAAATTTACATTGTAAGTACCTATATTTAGGTAATTATAGAGATATTTATAAATTTCTTCGCCAATTTTAACCACTGATTATGTTAATTCAAATGCAGCATTTTTAACCCCCCATTCAGTGTAGCAGCTTGAGAGATTATTCGGCATATTCTAAAAAAAACAAGTTTCGATTGCTATTATTAAACTTTTCCACAGAAACTCTTTTCCAGGCGGCATCTCGAAACTTCGATAACAGCTTACGTTGGCTGATGCAAGTGACAGCTGATATTCAGATGAAACACTGTGGAAATTTAATAGAATTTTAAACCATTATAATGAATGTCCATGAGCAGTTGTTTTAACTTAAGTATTGGTAGAAACGAAAACGAAGCATTTGTCATGTAATTTTTAGAAGAAAATGAATGAATTTGTGAAACAAAATGTTTTGAAAAGAAAAAAATTTATATATGTACAGGTGTAATATGAACTTTTATGTTTTGTAAACATTTTTTACTCTTATCGGTTGATTTCAATCGCCTAACATCAACGACCATATGCCGTTTCATCATATTTTTAATTGCGTTTTAAAATTAAGCAATGAAAGTTGCTGGCTGATAAGAAGACGACGGAGGGAAAAACTTTTCAATTTACACGTAGGAAATAGTAGATTTGTACGAAAAATTTATGACACAAAAGGTGCTTTTCTTCTCACGTGCCCTTTTTTTTATTATGGCAGGATAAATGATTTATCATTCTCATCGGGTCATTCTTTTGGCGGAGGGAAAGCCATTATTTTGGAATGGACGATAAGAGACCAGCTGTGGTAAGTTTGATAAGAAACCTTTTTTAATCCGTTTTCGTAATCGAAAGTATCCTTTTTGTTTCATCGACGAAATACGAATGAGGTGCATGTTGTGGGACGATAGAAAGGCAAACTAAACTCGTAAGCATTTATTCCCTAAATACTAATATTTTCAAAAAGTAGCAACGAAAATGTTGAGATTTTATCGCTACGATGATAACTTTTATTGTTTAAGAGCTTTTTTTGCTTTCTTAAGAGTTGCAAAATTTATGAGATTCTGTCATACTGTATAAATTGTATTCGTTTTTATTGTCCACTAAACTGAATTTCATGATAGTTTCGCTGAGTGAATTAATTTTATTTAAAAATTCATCGACACATTACGAAAGAAGCTTACGAGCCAGTTATTGTAATTGAAGATTAATAGATGAGATTAAACAATAAATTATTAAATCACAATCAACCAAGAAAATATCCAATCAACCTTAAGTATCGTTCAACATTCGAATGAAACATTATGATTACGTACTTATTTGAAATGTTTTTTAATTTCTAAAGATGTTTGCTTTCAATCTGTTAGATTGAGTATTTTATAATCCAACATATTTTAACAGTAGCAAAAAAAGATTTTTCACCTGTTTGAAACTGTAGAAAAATAAATTAATGAAATTCTGATACGTAAAGTTTTATTCAACATCAAACACACTCTTTCTGGGCTTTGCATAGAGTAAATGAAAAGCTTTTTGTCGGTAAAGCGGTAGAGCGAGGGAAAAAATGAAAGTTTTAATTAAAATTTCACTGGCATGTCATTACCATTCATTCATTTATATTTGGGTACTTTCCTGTAAAACTCTTGATTGAAAATTCGTTATTTTATGAGAAAAACATATTAACAAAGGAATTCATTTTAGATATTCGAAGCTGGCTACTTGAATCGTTTATTCTTTCGACGTTTAACAAATATGGAAAATAATTCTGGTGTAGTAATTATTTTTCCAACGATAACGGATGAACTTTGCTGATATTTTGCAAAACATAGTTCAAAGAATGCTGTTTCTCCAAATGGCGCAATGAAAATCTTTGAAACATGTTTCGAGTATTTGAAAATGATTTTGAACCAAAATTTGATATCTTTGCAATTGTGACTTGAAACAATTGTGTTTAATTTCATTTGGATTTATTATTTCTGCAATAAGATTTCTATAAATGGATGGAAAAGAAATTACGGAGGCCCCACCCTAGGGTGACGGGCAACCGTATTGGATT